AATTTTTATAAAAAAAATTTTTATTTTAATTTTAAAATTTTAAAATTTTAAAAATTTTTTATTAATTTTTTTATTAAATTTTTTATTTTATTTTTAAAATTTTTTAAAATTTTTATTTCAAAAATTTAGAAAATTTCGAATTTTAATCAAAACAATCAATTTTTATAAAATCTCTTTAAATTTTTATGGTTCTATGATTAGCTTGGAAAAAATTTTGATTTGTGTTAATTATTTTGATTAAGAAATTGGTTTTTCATCGTACACCTTTATTTGTTTTGCTATAGCATTAATTTAAATTATTAAATTTCTTTTTTTTTTTAATTTTTAATTTTTATTTTTCGTTGAATTTCATGGTGCTTTTCCAATAATTTCTATTTTACCAATTTAATTTCACTAAATGCTATTAGTTTCATTTTATGGTTTACGGAAAAAACGCGTTTTGTCACTTTGGTAGATTTTCAATTTTTCCGGTAACAATTTCATTTCAATTTTTAATTTTCTCAAATGTTTCGCTTTAAATTCGTAAAGAATTATTAAATAAATTTTTTAATTCTTTCCAAAAATTTAATTTATTCATTAGAATTTAATTATTAAAAATTATTTCCATTATTATTATTAATATTAACCTTTATTGTTATTATTTATTTTTATTTATCGCTATTTATTATTGCTACTATTTTATTATTATTATTATTATTGTTACAATTTTATTATAATTTCTCGCTATGATTTAATTTATCTTATTTCGTCGTCGTTCGTAAAAATGCATAAGTTTGATTTAATGTATCAATAATAGTATAATGCAAATTTTCAGTAGATTAGTAGGAAAAACACCGGTATTTCGGTACTGTTCGATTTAGATTTTCATAAATTTTCCAGTTGATCATTGTGAAAAACGAAAATATATTTTATACTACAAAAAAAAGTAAAACGATTCAACAACAACAACAATCGAATCACATTGTAAAGTATAATTATTTAATAAACTTGATAAAAATTCTATGAAAAATTTCATTGATACTATTATCACTATTATCAAAAAATATTATCATATTTTTTTAAATATATTTTTTATAATTTATAATTTTTTTAAATATATTAATATTGAGAAATTTTTTATAATCTCTTTTATGATACAATATTTATTTCAGTTATTATTAATAGTATATTTGCGTTTTTTTTTTTCCATAACGAAACGCCGTTAAACAGTAGTGCCACCACCACTTCACCACTTCTTTTTATTAAATTTATTTTATTGCCTCATATTTATGAAAATAATCACGATTGAATCGAACAACGCGTATCGAAACCGGTCAAGGTAAGATTAATTTTTGATTTTCTTTTTTTCAAGAAGAAAAAAATTCCTTTTCCATAAAACTTATTATTTGTATTAGCTAATTTATTTCGTTTTATTGAGTTTGATTTTTTTAAAAAACAATTATTAAGGAATTATTTTTTTAATTTTTAATTTTAATTTTTCCTTAATTTTTGCATTTTGATATTTTTTTTGAAATTTATTTTAATATTATTATTGAAAAAAATTTTAAATTTTTAAAAAATCTTAATTATTAATATTAAGATTAATATTTAAGAATATTAAATCGTCATTATTGTTAAATTATTTTTGTATTGTTATATTATTTATTATTATTATTGTATTAAGGGAAATATTAACAAGTTAACAATGATGAAATTAATAAAATTGAGAAAAAATTAGCGAAAAAAAATAAAATTTATTAATTTGATAAAGAAGTTTTTAGGAAAAAAATTGGAAATATTTAGCCATTTTTCTTCAGATTTTTTACATTCCTGTTTCATCTATCAACTTTTCATTTAAAATTATTAAAAGTTTGCTAATTTTTCTCGCAAGTTAATTTTTAAATTTTTTTAAATTTCAATTTAATTTTTTAATTTTAAAATTATAATTTTAATTTTTCATTTTTTTAAAATTTTGATTTAATTTTTTAGATTTAAGGTAATAATAAGTTATAATAATAATTTTCATTATTATTAATCGCTGTAATGTTTATTTGATTTGATTTTTTGAATTTAATATTTTTTATTCTTATAATTTCCAAACTTTTTTTGGATAATCCTAAATTTCATTTCATTTTTTACATAATTTTAATTACTGTTTTTTTTGCCTAAATTCATTATAAAACCAGTTTCATAATATCAAATTTTTACATATTTATTTTGCAGTTCATAATTTTTTCGAGAAAATTTTTTTAAATTCAATATATTTATTTATATGTAATAAAAATTAAAAAAAAATTATTAAATTATTATTTAAAGCCGTATGGCATATATTTTGAATTGATGGACAACAAATGACCTTCAAAATGATAGTTTATTGCGATAGAACTCTTGTCAGTTGAACGATAGGTGAACGTTTCTGCGCGCATTATTAACACTTCAAACAAATGAAATATTGCTTGACAGTTTTGGTTTTCGCGCAGAAAAAAAAAGGCAGACAACGGCCTAGACCTGTGTGGTTATTCTTTTAATGTATGTATACTGAAATTGGTTTTCCACAAAAACTGAAGAGGAAATTATTTGGGAAGATTTAAATAGATGGAAATTAAGCAGTATTAAACTCGATCTCTATATTTTTTAATGAGAATAAACCTATTATTAAAAATAAAATCCAAGTGGCAAAAAATTCATTTTAAAGTTTCACTTATCAAACGTATTCTCTACTCTATGCAAATGTTTACAAATAAATAATTTCAGTATAATTACCTGGTTTTTAATGTTTTTTTACATTTTTTTACACTATTGTTGGTTCGACTCCATTGGCTTCTCCGACAAATTTTCACCACGGAATCAACTTGGCTTCACCTGGATTCTTGAAGAGCAGACTTGAATTCTCTGCAACACTGCTCCAAAGAAGCCAATAAGCTATTCTGCATCCTTTTTATTTTTGCCATGCGGCATTCCAACCCGATGAAGTGTGGTGTATCAACCAGGAAATGTGAAATCCAGGCCATTCTCGAAACTACCAACATATATATTATTTATATTACTAATTGGTTAATAAATACAATACTTCCTTAACATATTTTACCAGTGTTTATCAGTATTATATATTATTTAATCTTTCGTTTTAGCATTATTCATCATTTATTTCGAAAGCTTTTCAAATTTAAACGATTTTATCATTTTTTCATTTTTGGTTTAAAACAATAATAACAAAATTTTTCATGATGAATGATGAATGCCTGATAAATAATATTTTTAACCAAATAAATAATTTGTCGAGTGAACTGTTAACTGCCAAATTTTCTAAATATTTTCCAAATGTTTGAATATCACTTTTTTCTTATCAGTGATACACTTCACGCTTTCTTTATCTGCAAATATTATTGATATAGTTCACGCTAAAAGAAAAATTTGGAAAATTAATGAAAATGAAAAATTTTCTCATAAAAATGATTAATTTTTTTTCTTTTCTTCATTAGAACAACTATGTTAATATTTTATCTCGAAAGCACAGAAAACAGGTTCATCAAATGGATAAATGATGTAAAACTGTTAATCACAAAAATGTATCGTAAAAATGTTTTATTTGTTTCGATCTTTTCTCTGTAAATTATTCTTTTTAAAAACTAAGTTTTTCAATATTTTAGGTTGAATTTTTATTATTTATTTTAGTAGTCATTTTTCATAATTTATTAATATTTCATTTTTTTGATATTTTTTTCAAAAAATAAAACACGAATTAATTAACATTTATTAGCATTTATTTTATTATAACATTTATTTTATTAATTGCAAAATTTTTCGTTTTTTTTTAAAATTTTCTTCCATTTTTTAAAAATTTTAAAATTTTAAAAATTCTAACTCTAATTCTAAATTCTAAATTATTAACTTTAATAATTAATATAAATTAATGAAATTTATTTAATACTTTTTTTTTTGCAGATCTAATAGCTAAGAAAGAAATTAATTCGATAGCCAACTATTGCGCAGCATTAAAAGAGTTTTTTTCTGATTTATATTGAATTAACAGTTCAAAATATGATTGAAGTTATAGCGAGGCCAAGCAATATGGATACTACAACACTAACAATTACCACTACCACGAGCGCTATTGGTATTATTATTTTATTACTTAATAATTACTTCAAATCACTTAGCCACAGTCAGAAGTAATATGAAAACAACTATTTGAAATCCTATATAAAATTGCTGAAAGCCTTTGTGGAATAGCAGCATATCCTTTCTCTTACTGCATATATCGATCCTTTTTTTTTAAAGGACTCTCACCATTATTGGAACTCATTCTGCTGGCTTATCGCATTAGACAAATATGCTAGAGAATCCTTTGGTGATAGAAATACGGGGTGAGTCGCTAGCATCATTTGGATTTTTGGACAGGCTACTAATATCCTACTGATAATTATTATAGTATAGTATATGCATAGATCTCGAGGTGAGATTTGATAGACCTTTGACTCGTTGACTTTTTTTCATAATAATGTAGGCCGAAAAATGTACACTACGGAAATATAGTTTTATATTTTTTTTCCAGTATTCCTAAGCAAAAAATCGGAGATTGTGTGAATTAAATTAATAAATTCATTAATGAATTCGGTCAATACTTATCGGATTCAAAAAAAAATATACATCGAAAAAAATGAGCAATGAGCAAAAAAATGAGCAAATTGCTGATTGAATGGTAATAATGCATTAGGTCAGGCGTAGTGCATTTGATTCCACTCTCTCTTAACGGAAATAAAACTATCGTAAAAAAATGGATTCTATGAAGTCAGATCAGTATGAGCAACCATTTATATCTATATTTCCAAATTCCAACATGAATCTGAATCTGAGATTAAAAGATTTGCACCATCGATTTGTTCGTTTTCCCCACTTTGATAGCCAATGAAGCATAGTTGAAAAGAGTAATTTTTTTTTTATTCTTAAAATTCTTGTAGTTGTATTTTTTTTGTAGTTATTTTTTATCAAAAATTTCTTTTACAGGAGGTAGTTCATCGACTTCCTCTGGAGTATCACCAACATCAAAAAATTTATCCTCCTCTATTTCAACATTGTCTGCATTTAGTCATAATGTTGAATTACGTCAGAAAATTACTAAAAGTCCTTCAAATGATTCGCTCAGGTATATTTAATTGCTTTTTTTTTTTATGAAAAATTTTATATTTGACTCGGATTTCGTTACTTTCCCCTCTGCTTTAACTTTCCCCTCTCCTCTCCACATATTATTTTCCTATATTTATGATTTATATGCTCATAAAAAAAAAAAAAAGCATAAAATTTGATCTTTTGTATTTAGATCTCGTACCTCATCATCTGGTGATAGTGGAGGTGGTGTTGATACAAACGAACGAACAATCGCTTCTACCAAGGGTGCTACTGTTAGGGTACTAATTTTTATTTATAAGCAAATATGAAAATTTCTTTATGAAAATTTTTGCTTAATTCCTTTTTTTTGGTACCATTAATCCGTCATTCATTACTATTAAATTTGTTTTATTTTGTTTTATAGAAATTAATTTATTAATTTATTTATAGCAGATTTTTATGAATCATCTATGATGCACAATTTTTTATATTATTTTATATTTTAATTTTTATATTAAAACAATTTAGATATTAAAATTTAATTGAAAAAATGTGAAACAATTTAAGGGACATTGTCCACAAAGTGCTATTCGTGTATTTGGCAATAAAATGACCGAATATGAATTAACTGAAATTTTAAATTATTCTCGAGTTTATTTTGTTGGTTCGCAAGCTAAAAAGCGTGGTGGCATTATTGGTGGTGCAAATAATTGTTGCTTTGATGATGAATCGGGAAGTTATTTATTATATCCACATGATCATATAGCCTATCGATATGAAATATTAAAAATTATTGGAAAAGGAAGCTTTGGGCAGGTAATTTTTTCTTTTTTCATTTCCCTTTTATAAATCGCTTTTTTACGAGCTTTTTCTAAAAATTCTAATTTTGAACAGAAGCAACTGAAAATGACAGCAATAAATTGAAAATCAATCGACGGCTTTTACTCGATAATATTGATATTATATAATAATATTAAATTGGAATTGGAATATATATATAATTATCATAATTATCATAAATTTTAATGATATTTTTTTATATTTATATTCTTAATTTAGATGTAATAAAACCAATATTTTCATATTTTATTATTTATTTTATTTATTATTTATTCAACACGCTTAATAAAAAATATTTTCCTTTAATTTTTTTCACATTTCTTGATTTAATTTTTAATTTTGCAGGTTATAAAAGCTTATGATCATAAATATCAGGTTTATGTTGCTTTGAAGATTGTACGAAATGAAAAGCGTTTTCATCGGCAAGCTGAAGAAGAAATTAGAATTTTGGTCTGTTTTTTTTTTTCTTTTGCAAAATTTCTAATACTATCACAAAATTTGATAATTGCTATGTTTTTTGATAATTCTACTATCTGTTATGCTATCAGCTATCAGCTTCTTTTAATTTATTTAGTTTTTAAAATTTTATTATAATAAATAATTCGTTTTATTTATGATGCATTGGTAAGCCAAATTAGCTATTCGTTTTATAATATTATTAATGGTAATTAGTTTGTTGTTTTTTTTTTTTTACAAATGAACGAAAAATAAACAATTAATCATCTACTGAAATTTTTAGTTGAATTGTTTCGTTCAAAAGTTCAGTAAATTTTTCAATTTTATTTTTTCATTTTTTTTTCCACAAAATTATCAATGAAAAAATTTTTAAATAGAAAAGAACCAAATTTATCAGTTTATCATTATTTTAATCACTTAATATTTTCTACTATATAAAAAATGTGATTGTTTAATTTTAGGATCATTTACGATGGCAAAATCCTGATGAACATAATATTGTACGAATGTTCGACCATTTTACATTTCGAAATCATAAATGTATAACTTTTGAATTATTATATATAAATCTTTATGAACTCATTAAAAAGAATAAATTTCAAGGATTTAGTATGCAGGTTTGTTAATGGCAATTCTTTCAATGATATATATATGTATATAGATAAAATTTTTTTTATCGTTGGTCATTTCACTTCCATTTCTTTTTTTTTTTGCTTTAGATTATCGAATTAGTCGAATTTTTTTGATATAAATTAAAATTAAAATTATAAAATTAAAAAAAATTAATTTTAATTTTTTTCATTTTAATAGTTAATTTTTCCAGCTCGTACGAAAATTAGCACATTCAATGCTATTGTGCCTTGAATTATTGAATCGAAATCGTTTAATTCATTGCGATTTAAAACCCGAAAATGTTTTATTAAAGCAACATGGAAGGAGTGGAATAAAAGTGAAGCAATTTTTATGATTTTCGAAAGAGGGAAGGAGACGAAAAGAAAATACATCGATAGATCACTGATAAATTTTAATTTTAGGTTATCGATTTCGGTTCGTCATGTTTTGATGATCAAAGAATTTATACTTATATTCAGTCGAGATTCTACAGAGCCCCTGAAGGTATTAATCATACACTGAAAGAATATTAGGGATTCCCAATGGTGTAGCTCGAGGGGTCGATTGAGAATCGATGGACAAATAGATAAAAGAAGAAAGACAAGTTTTTAATTCAAATGAGCACCCAAAAACTTTCTTTGCTTATATTTTTATACAATTTTTCATAAATTTATATAATTTTCTTAAATGAAATTCTCAAAAAAATTTTTAAAATTTCAACAAATTTATTATCATTTTGAAATTATCATTTATCAGTTAGGATTATCAATTATTATTCCTTATCTTAATTTTTTTTAATTAATTTTTTTATTATTTTCTATAACATCATGTGAAAATATTTTTCTTGTAAAGAAAGAGTTGATGCAAGAAAAAGGCTGGCAATTTCTATTTTAGTTCATTATTTGAATTAAAATTTAATTTATATTTTCATTTTATCCTTTTTCCAGTGATTATGGGCGGAAAATATGGAATGCCAATTGATATGTGGTCATTTGGATGTATTTTAGCTGAATTAAGTACGGGATATCCTCTTCTTCCAGGTGAAGATGAAAACGATCAGGTGAATTTTATTATTTTTTAATAACAAAATAAATGGCTTTTTTTTATAGTTAATTTTAAGATTAAAAATATTTCAGCTAGCATTAATTATTGAACTATTGGGAATGCCTCCACAAAAATTAATCGAAAACTCTAAACGAGCTCGTAATTTTATATCTTCGAAAGGCTATCCTCGTTATTGCTCAATAACTCATACAGTTAATGGAAGAGTTATACTTTCTGGATGCCGATCTAAGCGAGGAAAGCCACGAGGTATACCAGGTAGTCGATCATTGGCAAGTGCATTAAAAAATCAAGTAAGTACCAATCGCTTTTAACAAAATTTCGCAATGAAATTTATTACAAATAAATCCTTAAATTACAACAAATTTATTATCATTTTGAAATTATCATTTATCAGTTAGGATTATCAATTATTATTCCTTATCTTAATTTTTTTTTTTGTTTAATTTATGTACTTAAATTGCTCTCAGTAATAAATAATATAATATTTATCTAAATCTTTTCGATTTAGGATGAATTATTTCTTGATTTTATTTCTCGTTGCCTTGATTGGGATCCTGAAACACGTCTTTCTCCTTATCAAGCATTAAAGCATCCTTGGCTAAAACGACAACTTCCTCGTCTTCCTATGGAAATCCGATGACGTCTCGTTATATGGTTTGTTTTTATTATTAAAAACACCAATATATGAAGTTTTTGTAAAGTTTCACTCTAATATTTACCAAATGTTCGAGTGGTGCTGACACGATTCACCTATACTTTTATTTTGCTGAATAATTGAATAATTCCATGATAAAACTTTGCTGATAAAATTTTACCTAGCGACAAATAAGTGGAGCGAGCTTAATTAAAAAATGGTGCTTGCCAGTTTTGGAAAGAACTTTTTTATTGAATTAATTTTTTAAAATATTTAAATTTTAATTTTTTAAATTTTTTAAAATATTTTTTATAATTTTTTTCAAATATGAAAAAAACTTTCACTATGTATATAATTTTTAGAAACTCCGAAAAAAAAAACTCCGATCTCATAAACTGGTCGTTAAATTTGTCAAATAAATGATAAGACAAACATTTATAAAGCCAGATTAAATCTCAGTTCGTCTTTCTCTTCGACGAGTCATTCTTTTCTCGATCATTGCCCAATATTCTTATCAAATATTCCATATAGTAATATAAATTTCTTACTAATAAGGCGATTGATTCATCCTTAATTTTTCTGTATTTTATAAAATAATTTACTTGATTTTGCATTTTTAGGAATTAAATTAAACGTTAAATCACCTAATCATCAGTCATATTTTCAAAATAATTCTCCAAGATTTTTTTTAAAAAATATTTTTGCATTCGTTTATTTGTATTAATTGTGATCGTAGTAAAATTTTTTTTTTGGCTTTATTATTTTTATTTTCTTTAATAATAATGTTGTTATTATTATTATTGTTTTTGGCATTGTATTTATTCGATTTTAATATTTTAATAATATTTTTGATGAAAATTTTTTTAATATATAGAAATATATATATTTATTATTTAATTAATTAATGTTATGAATATTTGTTACTTTTGTATTACTTTTTTTTTTCAAATCGACAACTGTCAAATTTATCAGGGAATTTAATGAATGATAAGAGAATTCATTATGATTAGACTGATTAGGTTTCATCATAATTTTACAAAGAGAAATATTTAATATTTAGTATAATATTAGCAATTAGTTTAGTTAAGTAATTTTTAATTAATTAAAGAATTTAATATACTAAAATTTACGATTTTTTCGTGATAAGTTTAATTCATATGAAAAAAAATTTTATAAATTATTTCTTTTCGATTTCTTTTAATTTCTATTAAATAATCTTTCTCTTTCAAATAATAATTATTTACAAACTAATTTTTTAATTAAAAAATTAATGTTTTATTTCAAAATTGATAGTTTTAAATAAACGATAGGGAAAAATTAAATTTTTAAATTTAAATTAAAAAAAATTAACGAAATAATATTTTAAAGAAAATTTATAAGAATTATTAAAAATCTTTGTCATATGATTCAAATTTTTGGCAGTATTCTCTTAGCATATTCCTTTTATTCCTTTTTCTTTTGATTTGTTGAATTTTTCTCGTATTTTATAAAATCGAAGCTATTAAACCATAAATTTTGTATTATATTTAAATTAGTAAATCAATTGAATTGAATTTACTCAATTGCATTTCAGCATTTATTTTATTTTATTTTAATTACTGCTAAGTCGTATGTATCTCATTTTTCTTTTTTTTTTCCTCTTCTGTTGTATTAATAAAATTATATTATTATTTTCCTAAAAATTTGATAGTTATTAAAATATATAATTCAACATATATCTCGAATAAAACTTCATAGTGATAAGATTGCTTAATGTCTTATCACAGTGGTTCTTAAAAATTTTGAATTCCTTCGAGTATCCCTTTAAAGCTTTCGACAGAAACTGAGAAATTTTTAATTATCGTACTCTACCATTATTATTTATTTATTCTGTATTACTTATATAAGTATAGTATTATGGAAATGATTCTGGACGTTTCGAAGAAGAGCAATTCTCAGCGATTCTTAAAAGAAAAATTGGAACGCTCCTTAAAGAACCACTGATTATTGTTAGTAGTTTCCATAATCTCGTTCAGTTATTTTATTTTTTTATATTTTATAATTTTTTAGTTGGAAAAAGAAAAATTTATGAGAAAAAGCTTGAACGAAAAAATTATTCGTAATATTTGTTATAATATATAAAATTTTTAATTATAAAAATTCTTATTTCAAAAGGCGATTTATTGAAAAATAATAAATTCTTTCCTAATGGTTTTTTTTGCTAATTTTGCAGCAAATGAAAAACCTTTTTCAATTTATTATTTTAGGTGATTTTTTTATAAAATTTAAATTTTTTTTTTTGTAATGTCATAGTATTGCTTTTCTATAAAATACTTTTTTTTTTCATATTTTCTGATATTTTACAATGAAGTAAAATGATTTTTATCAGTCATTTTGGTGTCAAATTTTTCTCAAAATATTTTAAAATCTACAAATCATTTTTTTTGTTTAATTTAAATTTAAAAAGTTTTTTTTCATAAAATCATAGTTATAATCATATTACACTCGCATAAGATTTATAGTTGTCACAATTATCATTTGTTGTTATTTACTACTAATTTTGGTGTTAATAAAAAAAAAAACAAAAAAAATATTTAAAGAGTTTCAATTATTAAAGTTAAATTATAGAAATGCGATTATAGATAAAACAATTTGAAACGATTTTATAGTGCAATATATTTTCGATTTGAAAAATACATAAAAAAATTTCTTTTCAAACGTTCAGTTGATAAAAATTGAGTGATTTTGCCTAGAATTTGCATTCATAAATTTGGAATTAATCGATTTTATTCTAAATAATTATATATTTATAAAATATACATATCATATTACACTCATAGCACACGATTTATTGTAGTTATCACAGTTATCATTTATAAAATCGAGTGAGGTAGAATCGCTCAGTGAAATTCTCTCATTACTAAACACTGATGCTCACGTTGTACGAATAATGTTGGTGATTAACTTGGCACCTCTATTATCAAGTGGCTTCGTCCTGGGAAGATTTATTCGACAAACTAGTGGAACGAAGAGAAATGGTAGGCGCTTATGAAAAAAAAAATGCATCATGTATTTGTTGTTAAAGAGCTCATCGCAGAATTTCTTTCTTATTTCTTATATATAAGAAAAACCATCGCAATATTCTGCATTTGTTCAATTAAAGATACTAAAAGACAAGCGATAATGAAACGGTGATAAGAGGTGATAAAGAGAGAATTTACTGAAAAAAGGTTAATTTTATTAAATAATTTAAAATTCAACTAGTTTGCATTAATTTCTTGAATTTAGAAATTAAAATTAAATGAATTTAGTAAAATTTTGAAAATAACAGAAATGAAATATTTAATTATTGTTTTTTTAATTTTTCATTTTCTTTATAACGAAAATTTTTTTTCGCTGCCAATAAACCCCTTTCGAAAAGAGTTCAATAATTCATTAAAACAATTGACATTGACCGTGGCGAATTCAAATTTATATAGATTTATCGTTATGAAAAAAGAAAAAAAAAACTATTTGATAATATTTATTTATTTTTTTCGTAAAAATAACAAAAAATCGATCAAAAATATTTTTCTTTTTTTATTTATATATATAAATATTTAAACGTAAAATTCGATAAAATTAAATAAAATTTTTATTTGATCATTTCTAAAGTTTCATTAAAAAATTTTACGTTTAAACAAATAATTTTTATTCATTAAATTTCGAATAAAATCAAAAAAATAATATAAATTTAAAAATTAAAAAAAAATGAAAAAATAAAATTTAGGATATCGTAAAATGAATAAATGTTATTTGTCGCTGTCTTCAAACAAATTTTGATTTTTAATTTAGCTTTGAATTTGGACGAATACGAATGATTAAAATAAAATAAAATAATTCGACGATATCCTTTAGATAAAAGCAGTGAAGAAGGAAAAAAGACAAAGAAATACAATTAAATTGCAACGCTCTATTGCATTTAATGATTTAAAAGAAAAAAAAAATTGATGAAAAAAGAAATTTATGGGAAATTTACCTGATAATTCTTCATTTATATTCCTTATAGATTCTAAATTTTGAAAATCTGAAATTTAATTATTAAATTTTCTAATCGCTACGCTTTTTATACCTAAAATTATTTCCAAAAATTATATTCCAATATTGCTAAATTGATAAGAATTTTTGTTAATTTTGAAAAATTTATTAGCACTTGGAGTTTAAGAATTGATGTTTATTAATTTGTCGCTGTCAATATTATCATTTTATCAGCATTATCATTTTATCTTTATATTTAGAAATATTATTTTTCATTTATCACTATTCTTTATCACTATTATTTATTGTTTTATACCTAAAATTTTATCTTTAAAATGCGAATTGATTAAATATTAATAGGAAATGATATAATAGTGATAAAGAAGTTTAAAACTGGAACGCAATTAATGCTGCAACCTGCATTTACAAATTTTTGAATGAATGTTTGAGTAAGTTATGATTGCGAAAATATGATTAAAATTTGACTATAGTAAAATTAAATTAAATTAAAATTAAATAAAAACGATTATAATTTATTTACTGGAAATGCTCATAGTGGATGGTTGAAAATTCATATAAACAACTTTTCCGAATGCAGGATTTACCGGAGCAGTTCCATTATGTACATAAACAACTTTTCCTAATCCAGGATTTACCGGAGCAGTTCCATTATGTACATAAACAACTTTTCCTAATCCAGGATTTACCGGAGCAGCTCCATTATGTTCATAAACAACTTTTTCGAATGCAGGATTTGCTGTGGCAGTTCCACTGTGTATATTCTAAACATTCTTTTTCTTTAAAATATAAAATTTATATTTGAAATTTTTATAAATAAATAACTTTAACTTCTTTTTAACATTAGTTCAGTTAATAATTGTAAATGAAATTTGTTAAATTTAATCAATCAAAAGCAACAAGCAATTAGTATAATTCCAGTAAAATAATATTGTTCTATTAATTTAGCTATAAATAAGTTATAATTATAAATTTAATAATATAAAAAATAATTTAAATAAATAATTTTAATGACCGAAGTGCATCCGACAAGTTGGACATCTTTTTCTCCCGTATCCACATTGGTGTATGCGCCTGTTTCTCCGTCACATTTCAATTTGCGTTGTTTTGGTTTTCCATCCGTCATGAAATATCCATCTAGAAATATAAATAAACAAATAAATAAGGAAAATTATTCAGTAGTATTTTTTATTTTCGATACTTTTTTTTTTCAAAAAATCACTATTTTAAAAATTCTAAAAAACTCTAACTTGAATCTTTGCATCGAAATGTATATATTTCATCGAATGCAACGATCATATCCTTTATTCCTTTAAAGTCAAACAACCTATTTGGTTTCTAAAATTTTTTTTATGCAGCCAATGCATTAAAACGTATTATTATTTATTTTGATAATCCATTTAAATAATTTATTCAAAAAATTCACTTTTTCCATGAATACTGTATCCGGAATATCTGTGATAGCAAAGCAAGCATTTATACAAGTATCGGGTACTATTGCTCTATTTCTAAAGCCATCTGATGATCCTACTTTTGGTTCACAGAAAAATTTATGGTCCAATTTCTCTATTTCTTCCATTTTATTCATCATTTTTGATTCCGATCCTGAAATATGCCAATAGAAATCCTAAAAGTATGAAATAATGCAGCAAAAATTATTTGAAAACCAATAAAACAGGATAGAATATTTTTTATATATAAAAAATTGGTATAAAGTACCTGCTTTGCAGGTTATCACCTTTCCTTTGATAGTAATTTTCAAGTTCCACATACTAGTATTAGTTAAAGTGGATGGAGGACTAGTAGGTCGAGGAATACATCCTTGTGTGCATTTGAAAGGCTTATCAATTATGTTACCATATTGATCTCTCCATCCAGAATCATCATCAGCAGAACAAGTAAGCTTTTGCATGCCGTCTTGCCAATATTTATTATCTGATGGATAATGTTGTGGTGCTGTAAAATCATAAATTTTTTCTATAAATTATTCTTTTATTTTTAGTACAGATAGGATATTATAAATAAGGTACCATAATTTTAATAGAATTTAGAATATTTTATTTACTTTTTGGGCAAGTCATAGTAATGACGCAGCCAGCTATATATAGCTCATTAGACTGAATGCAATTTTTAAGAGAAATTTCCACTTGAGGATCTTGTTTAATCATTAAGCATCCATTCAGTTTTTCGCAAGCTTTTACGCCAACATTTTTTTCACCGGTATCAATATCATCATAGAAATGCGTTTCACTGTTACATGATAAAGCCTGACGCGCTTTTCGATTATGAATTGTTTCTTTTGGATATGCGTAACCTAAAAATGAATATTTACTTTAAAAATATAATAATTTCATAGGCGTTCTTCTGATACTGAAAACCATTGAAATATATAAAAGAAAAATGATAAAATTGATAAATTTTTGCTATGGAAAGGTAAAGAGGAATTTGCCTATCAGCAAGAAAATTTAACCATTTTGGCAAATTCATATTTCACAAATGCTTCATAGAAAAGATCTAATAAAAAAACTAAAGAAACGAGAATTTTAAGAGCTTTTATGAAAAAAGTGAAGTAATTTTTCTATAGCTATTATTAGGTTGTTTTGTAAATTTCTTTTTAATTGTATTTTATAATCATAAATAATTATTTATTAATATTAATACAAAATACAAAAATCATTTTTTATTAATATTAATATAAATACAAAAATTAGATAGCAAAAAAAAAAACTAACCATCGTTACATTTAAATACATATGGCTTCATATTTTGTGCGTATCGTTTGCCGTCATGTTCAAAGATATTTGGAAACTATCAATAATAAATTTTTTTTATTATTTTTATAAAAATTTTTTAAAATTTTTTTAAGTTATTGTAAAAAATTTAATACAATATTACAATAAAAAATTATTTTAAAAAAATAATTCTAAAAGAAAAATCTATCTTGAATGATAAAGTGATAAAAGTGATAAAGTGATGAAATAAGAAAAAAATTTTTCGAATTAGAAAAATTTATTTAATAAAAACCTTAAAAACTGAGACACTTCGTGGAATATTTTCGATAGCAATACAAGAATTGAAACATTTATTATCAAATTCTATATTCGATGAGATATTTTTATCATTTTTCTTATCTCCCGAACAATAAAATTTATTTATTTTATTCGAATCTCGTAATAAATTTACATTAATATCCACTTTTTTTTCTTCTAAAATAATATAATAGAACAAATTTTAATAATTTTAAGAAGTATTTTATAAATTATAATATAATAAAATTTAAAATATAAAATATAAAATTTAAAATATAATAAAATTAAAAAAAAAGATAAAAATTCGAGTATTTCCACAATCTAATCATCAAAATCCTAGATTTTTTAAAAGCTTACTTGAAGTACATTTAACACTTGTACCATCAGTGAATTTATATATCGTAATTTCTGTATTAATAGTTGTATTCGCACTGCTTATTAGACTTTCTTTAACATCCCTTGATATACAACCTTTAATGCAATACAGACGTTCCTTAATTGGCCTATTATATTGATCGAACCATCCAGAACCGCTCGGTCCACACCTAAGTTCTTGGCTCACCGATTTTTGATAAAGCTCGTCCTTCGGATAATAACCTTTAAAAGGAAAAAAAAACGATTGAAATTAAACTTGCAAAAAAATTAATTGAATAATAAATATAATAAATATATCTCAATGTTTTAAAGATAATTGAACCTTCAGCACATTGAACTTTAATGATGCAACCAGTCGGATAAAATTCACCATCTTTTTTGCAGTTTTTAATTTTAATATCCGTTGAATCGGCATCTTGTTTAATTTCCTATGAAAGAAAAAAATTGGTGATTGCCAATACAAATCTTATTTTCCTAATTTATTGTTCATTTAATCGACATCTACCAAATATATATTTAAATATATTTATTTAAATATATTAATAATTAGCCTAAAATCAATAATAATAATAATAATAATAATAATAACAATAATGATAATAGCAATAGATGATAATAATTGTAATATTTATAATATTAATGATAATCGTATACTAAACTAATTCTAATTTTTATTTTCCTCCATAGAATACTATTATTAATTTTGTTTTTTATTTAAAATTGGCTATATTCTAAAAAAAAAACCCTTACTTTACATTCGTTTGCATTCGGCGGACGTTCACAATTTTCAAGTTTAAAATCATATTGTTTAGTATCGTCGTCGAAATATTTCTTCGTATCCCCATTGCATCGTATAGTTTGACGCTTAGTATTCTTATAAGGATTACTCAAATAAACATAACCTTAAAATAATTTTTTATCAGAGAATTACTTACGAATAGATTTCCATTATCACTCGTATAAGAAATATCTATTAATGATATTTTTTAAGAATCCAAAATATTCCCAACCTGTTTTACATTGGAACTCAAATGCTGTTTTGTCGAGAACGTACATCTCTCCTTTAAGTTCGTGAAAAGTCGCATTCTGAAAAAATCCCTACTAATCATCATTTATATATGTTTTAAACTATTAACTACTTTTTTGAAATCATATCTCAATTACCAAGTTAATGGCGGAAGGCGAGAGAAGTGGGGAGGGGGGGGGGGAAGGAGGGGGAGGGAAGAGGAAAAAAAATTGAACCTTAGCTAAAAAGACATTTTGCGGAATTTGTTTCATTTCAATAGGACATATTCCTGTGCAAGCTTCATCAATTACATCAATTTTAACATCTTCATCATTTTTCCATTTTCGATCACCACCGACACACTCAATAATTTCACCTTGTCGCTTATTTGTCGCTGTCCATACGTAACCTAAAATGTGAAAAAATATTATAAAATTTTATGATATTATTATAAAATATTATAAATATTTTATTATAAAATATTACTATGAATATTATATTATAAAATATTATATTAAATATTAGAAAAAATTTACTAACCATCCTTACAAATAACTTCGATTTTTCCACTAGGCAATATATAGATATCTTTATTTATATTCACAATATTCGATGAATTTCGCTTAATAATAATTGGTGAGTTTGATGACGATGGCTGTATGCAACCTGGTGCACATTTTAATGAATCTTTAATAATTTTATTATTTTGATCCATCCAATCATTACCATCTTTACAATGAATTTTTTGAAATCCATCTTTGTGATAAGCTTTATCTTCCGGAAAAAATCCTAAAAATAATCACCATTTTTATATTTATAGGTAGAGAAACAAGAAGATAGTGATAATGATGATTAAAATATGATGAATGAATTTTCATAAAATTTTTTAACAATTTGTTAAGGTTGGAAATATCGTTTGATGATTATTTTCGATGATAAATAAATAAACAAACCTTCTTTACATCGGATTATGAGACTACAATGATTAGAATCGATTTGCTCATCGCCTTTTCCACATTGTTTTCTAATGGTCGCCCAATTTTCTTGTACGATATCTTTGCATCCCGGTCCGATATCTTTTTTACATTTTTCAGGTTCATTTACGATTTTATTCCTCGTTAAATCTTTATATTTGCCATCGTTTGAACATTTAAGAATCTGTTTGCCATCTTTTTCAATAGCACTTTCTTTAGAATAGTGATAACCTAAAAAAATATGCGACAATATGCGACGACTAAAACGACTAAATTTTTTTTAAAGTTTTAATTTTTTATCGCTTTAAAAATGAACTATTAATGTAAATTTTATAAGAGATTTTTTAGGAGATTTTTTAAGAACTATATTAAAGGAAAATAATTTATTGATAACCTTTTTTACATTCAATTATATATTTTGCATTTTCACGAACAATTTTTTTTTCATTCATTTCATACAATGCTGGTTGCTGAAAAAATATTTTTTTCCCATAAACCATATCAGTTTTGGTTTCTTTTTTTTTCGCGACACAAAAATTTATTCTTACTTGCAAAAATCGAAAACCTTCAGCACGATTTATAGCATCACAATAGCCTAAACATGATTCTCCAGGCCATTTTTCGTTAACCATCGTTTCTTTTTCAAGCCAATTTTCCTTTCCACCTTTGCACTCATATTCTCGCGGCTTTAATGGTGCATTTATATCAGCATTAGGTGGTGATGTTCCTATAAAGAAAAAATTTTAACTATAACTGGCAATTACAATTATTCATTAACTCTTCTCCAATAAGCCTAATTTTTTTTTTTCTCTTGTGAAACACCAATTATTTATGATTTGATAGATTTTCCAAGCATCTGGATTATCTTTTATCCGGAGGAATATGGAAGAATAGAGGTAAGCGGTTTCGCAGCATTCACTATTATTCCACATTTAACCAATTTACTACCATCAGAGAAATCGAATGGTGCCTATCTTCAACATAACTCTTCCATCTTTACGAATAAGCGTCATGAAATCAAATAATTGTTTGAACAATAAAATTTATCGAATATATCTTATAACCCATGGAAATATGCTACATTATAAAATAAATTCCTGGAAAAAAATACCTTCTTTACATTGTATAATCATTTTTGCACCAGATTTGTAAAATTGTTTGCCTCCAACAATTATTGGCTTTGGTGCTTGAATCACTTTGGTGTTTGGCATTGGGCGAACTTCACATCCAGGATGACATTTCATAAAATCCATCACACGATTTTTTTCTTTATTTTGCCAATCAGATTTAGTACCATCATCGACACATTCCAGCTCTTGTTTACCGGTTATTATATAAGTATCATCAACCGTAAAGTAATCTAAATTATTTATTTCTTTCAAACATTCTCATGTGAGACAAAAATTGCTAAATATTATCTGGTACCTTCTTCACATTCAAGAACCAGCTTACAACCAACAACCGTTTTACCATGATCGAGGCTACAACCTTTATGCGAAGTAATTTTCATGTTCGGAGGCGGTGATTTTGGATCAAGTTTCTTGCATCCAGGAGTTTCACCTCTAACGCATTTTTCTGGCTGTAAGATAAAGAAAAATCTCTTTACTAGATCATTAGCCTAATTATTTAAAAGAATTCATCATTCATTGATAAAATATTTTATCAAAGCAAAAATTGGTACTTATTGCAATATAATGATGCTTAAAAAACAAAAAAAAAAAAATAATTCTGTTACTTGTATTGTATTGACAGTGAAGCTAATCTTAAAATCATTTGGAAATGTAGAAAATATAAAATTTTTAAAATTTTCACAATTTTAAAAATTGTTTTAGTTGCCGAAAGAATGATCGTCAGTGATTTAAAATGAGTTTTATTGAATTTATACTTTGGCATTGATTTGTTGTGAATCGGGATCATAAAATCCATCCTTGCCATTTTTACATTCAATAATTTGCTTTCCTTGCTTACTATGAGCCTTATTCGCTGGATATTGATAACCTATAAGATAAAAGGATAATAAATTTGCTTTACTTTGAATATTAAATATTTTATTTTAAATTTTAAAATTTTAAATCAAGTTTTACTCATTTCAATCAGTTTTTCAAATTCAAAAATTCAGTATTCAGTTTTTCAAATTTGATGAAAAAAAAAAAGATGAAGAAAATTTTCGTTGAAATCGGAGTTAAATCTGATTAATTCTTAATTTTTCCGCGAAATTTGAAGGATTCGAAGAATTTATTGTAGAAATAAAAGATAATAAGGAAGAATTTTGGGATTTCAAATTTCTGTATAATTATAAATGGATTTTAGGAAAAATTTAATGAATTTTTAAAGATTATTATAAATAAATATTAATGAAGCCTAATGAATGAATTCCTTCTATGAATTCGAAAAACGCGAAAATCGACAAAATTTTGTACAGTCGTCGATGAATCCTAATGGTATAATTATTTGCAACATTGTTTAAATGATAAAACTTAATAATAATTAGACCCTTATTGCATTTGAAGATATATTGTTGATTTTCGATTATAACCATTTTTCCTTCGTGATAAAAGGCACTTGGTGACTGAAATTATTATATCTTTAGCGAAATTCGCTTATCCTATCCGGTTCTTCAATACTACTATAGTAATGGTGTGCCAAATTTTATTAAATCTTTTTTTTTGAGGGGCTCTCACCATCACTGGTTAGACTCGCTCTGCAGGCTTATTGTGCTAGAATACAATAACACCATGGAGTGTCCCTTAGTGAAAGAAATACAGATGAATCGCTAGCATCACTCGGATTTTTGGACAAGTTTATTCCTGCGGGAAATAGAACCACAGTATCCGAATTAAATGGCAACCCACTAAGCTATCTATTCTACTATTTATTTAAAATAATTTTACTCTTTAAAAATCAGGCTTGAAACTATAAAAATTCAAATAATAATTAATAATTCATCATTCATTTATGCGAATACGCGAATTATTACCATAATGATTGCGACTCCCTTAGGTGGATCGGTTATAGCTATACAAGTACCGAGGCATTTTCCAGGTTCTTCACCACTCATCCCAGTTACTTTATTTTTCCATTTGCTCGGTCCGCCAATACATTCTAGCGCGACTTCTACTTTTTCGCGTTCTGATTCAGTGGGCATGACATACGCTAAACATTGTTCGATAAACTGATTCTTTCATATAAGAATTTGCCAAAAATTTATTACAATTTCGCTTGAATTGCCATAAATTAAAAAAACTTACTAGCTTTGCATTTGACTATCATTTGACCACCTTCTCTAACTAAAGTACCATCACCAACCTGAAATCGTCGTTTAATTATTATTCTTTATCATGCATAATCAATCAATTATCAATGCAAATAATTTTGGCTAAAAAATTTGTTTGATTTATTGCATAAATTATTATTCTAAGCGAAAATTCATTCACCAAATCACTTTGATCCGGTTTTGCAACAATTATAGCATTTTTTAGTTCTTTCGGAAGCTTACAAACTGGTAAGCATTTCATTGTAGTGGCATTCTTTTTTTTGTTATTCTTATCTACCCATCCATTCTTTCCAGCTTCACATAATAAAATTTGCTGTTTTGCAATAATCGGCTTGTTATTTTCATTAAATAGATGATATCCTGAAAATAATTCCATACAAAAAATATATATATGTATAAAACGTAATAAATATAATATACTAATATGCAAACTCAAATATTTGAAATATGAGAATCGGCTTAACTTATATTGTCGTTTTATTCGAATATCTTTACCTTCTTTACATTCAATTGTTACTTGACAACCCTTTGGTACTTTTCCTTTTTCCAGTTCGCATTTATTTTCATTAATAAAGGCATTAGGAGTTGTCATCGTAGTAATCGGATCACATCCTTTAGCACCTTTCACTTGACAAGGAAATGGCTCAGCCTTAATTGCAGCCAAATATTATGTTACTGATTTTTTCTCATCATGAAATTGATGATAAATTCGATGATTATAAAAAATCTATGAAATTATATGATTAATTATGATACGATTGATGATTACAAGAAAAAGCAAAAAAGCTAAGCAAAATTGATACATTCAATTCTCCGGAATCCATGTCCTTATATCCGGCCAATCCGCCAGCACAAAAAATTGTTTGTTGTTTACTTCTTGCATAAGGTGAATTTTCCGGATATTCATAACCTATAATAAATAATAATAATAAATAAATAAATTTTAAATCAAAATATGCAAATTATGAAATGAAATGATGAGGAAATTATTTATCGATATTTAATCAGTTGGTCAATAATAATTTCTATAAAATTATTGCGAATAAATTCGAATCGACTAACCGTCTTCGCATTCATAAACATACATAGCCTGAGGGTAAATATATTCAATTCCATCGAATATAACTGTATCTTTTGGTTCTCTTTTGATTCGAGTTCCTTGTGGCAATTTAGTTATTTGACTGCATACAGGCTCACAACTTGCTGGATGCACATCATTTTTTCCAGTCTCTGAATATTCGGAAATTATGGAAATTGGTTTGGTCTTAAATAAAATAGAATAATCTCTATCAAACAATTCATAAACGATAGAACATACTACTATTGCGCCAACCGTCGCTTCCTCCTATACAAATAAAGGAGTTCGGTTCGTCTCGTTCAGATGGGTCCAATCTTACAAATCCTGAAAGCTAAGATGAATTAGACATAACCAGTATTTATGGCGTTAAAAAATATATAATATTCCAATACCTTTCTTACATTTTGTTGTTACTTTTACTCCATTAGACCAATAGGTTTTATCACCATTTTTATGCTGCAAATTATAAATTATAAAAAGTTTTTTCATAAATTCGATAAAATTAGATTTAGACGAATTCATATAAATCCATAAATTCTAAAAGATAAATTGATAAGAGATAAATTAAAGTGGAATGGGATTTTTCGTTTCCTTTTTAAAATTGCTAAATTTTTTTTGATAGTTAAAATATAAAAAAAATAGAAAAATGAAGGAAATTTTTTGCAAAAAAAATTTTTTCTTAAAAAATTAATTATCATAATTTCAAAATTATTTGAGTGTTGATTTCCGTAAAAAATTAGATTTTGCTTTGTTTCTAAATTTTTCTAAACATTTTAAAAAATTTCATTTAAATTTTTAAAATTTCTTAAAATTTAGTTCCTTCTTAATAGTCTCCTAATTGGCAAAATTATGAAAATATTTCTCTGAGTGAACAAATCATTAGAACCAAATCCTGTTGCGAACTTAGCTGACATGGTTCTAATGCGCATAGCTCTAACCTCATTGTGCATGGCATAATTATCCGTGCGAAATATGGCATCTCATGCGCTGGTTAGGCAAACAGTAGCAAAAGTATTTGTATAAGTATTGTTTCAAAAACAAGGAGGATCAGTAGAGATTTGGATCAAGGAGCGAATCAGGAGAAATTTTGAACGCCCAGCGATATATGGACGATAAAAAAATGAGTGCTTTCAATGAGTTCCAGAAATGGTATCAGATGGGCATCCTAGTTGGATCCAATATTTTGCTGCCAGTGGAGCGGACCAAAATAGCAGTGATAGCGTTGCTAAAAAAAAAAAAAAGAATGCCTACAATAAGATTTTCATTAGTTGGTGCTTCATCCCCTTCATAAGTTGCATTTTTCATATCGTCTTCAGTTAAAGCTCGACATCCTTTTTGGCATTTTACCGGTTTATCCTTATCGTATGGTTTTCCACTTTGATCAACCCAACCATTATCAGTGCAAATTAATTTCATTCCATTTCCATAATCTTTATTATCAAAATAATGAACTGAAATAAAACTAATTATTAGACGATCAATTTAATAAAAGAAAATTAAAAGTGGAGAATTTAGTGGTTACATTCTCCGCAAACAATAGTTGCATGACATCCTTTAGCAATCGAATTTGAATTCAACGATCTGCATTTCTTATCGACATTCGTTACAACTGAATTTTTGTCGATTTTTTTCATGAAAGACGTACAGCCAGATTTCACACACTTAAATTTTTAAATTCATTTACAAAATATAGAAAAAATTATTGAAAATAGAAAAACTCCAAATATAGAATTTTATCAATGAAAGTCATTGTTACGTAGCAATCATATCATATAGTGTTGATTATCGCTTCAGACCTGCGCCGATACTATACAACGCAGGATGAAACTTGTCCAAAAATCTGGCTGATGCTGGCGATTCACTTGTACTTCCATCGTCCACTTGGTCGAGGTCATATTTTTTTAACGCGATAAGTTAGCAGAGTAAGTTTAATCAGTAATGGTGAGGACTCTTAAAAAAAAAAAAAGACTTCAGATTTGCTAGCTAATGACTGATTACCTCAACTGGACGAGCATTTTTAGCACCTGTCGCTAGATCTTGATATCCTGCTTCTCCGCCTATACATACTAATTGCTGTCGCTGTTTTGCATGATGAGGGCCATTTTTGTCGTACATTGTACCTTACAAAATTACATATTTTATGCAATTTAATTTTGGTACCAATTTTGCTATTTGACCAAACAAAGAGCTAAATTTAATTGATACGATAGAAAATTATTTATTGGATACAATTTTTCATGCAATTTTAACCTGCACTGAAATGAATATAAATCAGTAAAGTAAGATAAGTTAGAATGTAAAGTAGTATGTTTCTACTTTAACTATAAATATGGTTTTTTTTGAGGAAAGCCTAACCTTTCTCGCAACGGAAAGAATATATATAGCCATCATAAATATATTTTTTGCCGTTCATTGTTACTATTGCATCTTCACTTGGTTGATTTTCAACAATAGTGAATGCAGCAAAATCATTGCTAAAATAATAATTCGTTCAAACTCTATTTCCTCTAATTTCATTTATTACTTCTAAAATGTGATCTATGATTTCGAGTTTGATTTGAATTAATAAAAATAAAATATTAAAATATCAAAAATAATCATTACATTGGATCTAGTGCTAGGCATAAGGGATTACAAAGTCCAGGTCTTCCATCGTCACCACCCTGTTTAAGAACTGAGCCAATCGCTCGTTTCCATCCAATATTGCCGCCTAAACATGTGAAGTCATCCTCATTTTTCTGTCGCCATGGTGGAAAAGCGAATCCGAAACCTAAAAATAATTTTGGTATGCTGTCAACTGGTCTGTGGAAATCCAACCAGTTAAATAAAGTAAAGCCGATTTTTTCATTTATGCAAAATGAATGCAATCCTTGCCTGCTTTACATTTTGTTCTAATTCTTGTGCCAGATGGCCAGTAAATTTTATCACCATTCCTGTACTAAAAAGTAGTAATTTATTCCATAGCTTATAAAAATTCACTAATAGAGATTTTAGTGGAAATTATCAGATTATTCATTGATAACAGATAACTTCTATCTTTTTCCCATTTTTTTTCTAGTCTATCTGATAATCGTACGTAATTTTTCTTTGGACCTGGTTTTTCGATGGTGCATAACTATAAGTTGCATTCTTCATGTCGTTATCATTCAACACTTTACATCCTCGAATGCATTTGGCTGGACTCTCAGCTACATGCCGCTTATTGATCCATTGATTTCGATAACAAATCAAGGCTTGACCATCAGCATAATCTTGATTTTCAAAATAGTACCCTAAAAAAAAAGAAAAATTCTTTTTGAAGTGATATCTGATTTTTTTTGGAGAGAAAAAATATGATATTTATATGAAAATATAAAAAATATGATTATCGATAATATCGAATTATAGTGGTTTTTAATAATGTAGAAAAAATTAATTTTTTTAATATTCTTACATTCATTGCAAGTAATTTTTATTACTGTTCCTTCCTTGCAACCACAGATTAAACAAGATCTACGTGGTACCGTTATTTGAGCATTTAATAGGCTATGTGGACGTATATTTCGACATTTTTCTTTTGATAAGATGATAAGATCTTAAACACAACAATAAGCGCTGTAAATATCTAGCTGGTTAGTTTAACATTAATAAAAATTCATTTATATTTTTCTAGGAATATTTCTGGTTTGGCTCATTTTGTTTAGCTTGTCGGACTAAATAAATTTTGTTATAGAGTCATTTGACTCGAAGTTTAGATCAACACTAAGTGGTTCTGTAGCAATAGAACTGCAGCAGCATCGATGCCGAAATGGTAACAACCTACAGAGTTGTTCTACCACTCACCTTCCCTCCCTTTTGTAGCAATTTTGTTTTATTTTTTTTTGATATACCTTACAAAAACTTACAAAATAAATTAGCGACGAACCACACAAATTTCATATTCGAACAAATCACGAGCAAATGTACATTGGAAAAGTCGTCGTCGTTATGAGCAATGAACTCTGAAATGAACGATTTTAATATAAAAATTCAAATTAATAAAATCATTTTTATCGTAATAAAGATTAACATATTATTTATGATAATTATTCCTAAGGTTTTTAATGATTTCTTAATTATTTTTATTCCAAGAAAATTCGTGTAAAATTTTAGAAGAAAAATTTTTTACGCTTTTAAATTTTATAGCCACCAAATAAACGAGCAAAATTCATATAATAAATGCTTTTTATCGCTCTTTTTTTGCTTAATTTATGGATTAAAAAATTCGCAAAATTTTTTTTTTTTCAGTTATAAATTTTTCTTTCATTAAGCATTTTTTTGAAAATAATTGATATTTTTTTATTTTAAAATTACTACCTTTAAAATTTGTAGAGTTACTTAGAATTCTACAAATTCATATTTCATTTTAATTTTTTTTATTTTTATTTTCGGTTTAATATTATTATTTTTGCAACGAAATCATCTTGCGATAGAAAATGCAGTGTCGCTACTCAAATTATCCAACTACTCAAATTAAAATTCAAATTTTAATAATAATTCCTATTCTCCTTATCCGATAGGTTATCTCTTATCGAAGTATAAGGATTAGAATGGTTCAATGGGTATATTATTCAATTCAGAGCCTTGATACTGAGGTTCTACTCTCGGCAGGAGTGAATGTGTCCAAAAATTCGGCTGGTGACCTGTATTTCTGTCGCCAAGGGACTCCCTGCCATATTGTTCAATACGACAAATCAGCGGAACGAGTCTAACCAGTAATTTTCCTGAAAAATTCAATGTCAAACACCCAAATTTTTCAGACACATTGCTTATCAAATTTTTTAAGCCACTAATTAAGCCATTTTTCATGAAATTCATTTAGTGATATCAATAAATTTTCAAAAAAAAATTCATAAATCAGAAAAGCAAAGCAAACCAATGTATAACAGTGAATGTCACATTTTTTGGTTTGTTTAAATGATTTTAAAAAAATTATTCAAAAACTTCCGCATTATTTCTTATATAAAGCCGAAGGGGTTTAGTAATTTTTAAAGACTAATATCATGTTTTTAATCATAATAATCGTTGCTTTATTTTCAACGCTTTGTATAAAATGTTTTACCAACGAAAATGTTTGTTGTTGAAAAATTTTTTCTTATATTTTTATAAATTATTATTGAAAAAAAAAAGGAAAAAGCAGTGTCCTACAATTTTGCGGTTAAAACCATTTTTTCCACAAATCTTTCAGTAATTTTAAACTGATAAATAAATTTGGTTTGAGTTATTTGTCATAATATTTATATATACTATTTAGCTGAAAAAAAAAAAATCTGGTTGATTGACGGCCGAAAAGCAAAAGCTATGAACAAAAAGAGAAATAGCGAATTATAATCATGAAAAATTTTTTAAAATTTTTTTTATTTTTTTCAGGAATATAAAGAGTTGTTCGATCGAAAACAATGCAACAATCACGGAATTCATATTAAAATTGCTGGCCAGGAAATCTGTCTATGCGATAATGAATATTCGGGTGATAAGTGTATGGATGGTTAGGATTTTCGCGCATATTTATATGGGTCTTATAGTAAGAAAAAGAAAGGCACTAATCGAACTATTCTTCTTAAATTTTCTATTTATCGTAACAACTCGAACTATTCGTAAATTGTTCTAAAATGAAAATAGGAGGAATTAAATTAGTTAACGAACTGTAATATTAATTCTCACAACATGGACACAGAATGATACAGTGGATTGTCGTTCCATTCGGAGCGCTGATGCTGAGGTTCAATTTCCCACAGGAGTCCAATAAAAGAGTTAGTCGAGGCAAATCGACCATGCATTTCTTTTAATACTTATATCTTTAACCTTTTTCTTTTTTTTCCTTCGATTTACTTAGATTCCACTGCAAATTAAGTCTTTGTTTTCAAAACCAAGGAAGAAAAATCATGAAATATTCGGAATAAAAATACACATAATCTGATAATTTTAGTGGTTCAAAAAAAAAAATTTTTTTTAAGGCCCATGCGACAGCTCGATGAGTTGTAATGGAAATGGCACATGTTTTGGAACGTCGCAACGAAGCATTTGTATTTGCAATAATGGAGAAATTGGGTCGAACTGCGAAAATTCCAGAAACTCTTCTTTTTTCAGTTTGTATTTCATTCATTAAATGATTAAAAATATATTTATAAAAATAGCTTGTTTTGCTTATTTCATGCTTTCAAATAATTTGGTTTAAAAAAATGATAACTGGTAAAATATTTAAGAACGTAGAGTTCGAAAAGCTGCAGAGATGCCTTGCGATTCAAGTGATTGCAATAATCATGGAATTTGTATTGGAACAAAAAAATTGCCAATTTGCATTTGCTATATGCCTTATATAGGAAAAAATTGCGCACAAAATGCTTTGGAAACAGGTGAATTTATATGTCACCTGTGGGGATTTCTTTTTTATTTGGAAAAAAAATTGCCAGCAATAATTATTCAAATAATTAATCTATAGTGAAAACAAGTTTAACAACAAAAAATATTCCTGGACATACGATCATTTGTAATTCGGCTGATTGCAATAATAAAGGTTTATGCATTGGAACGAAAGCCAATTATGTTTGTCTATGCAATCTTGGTTATGCAGGACGACAATGTCAAAAAGGTATTTCTATTTTCTTGTAATTTTAGGCTACTGGGTAGGATATCCGAATAGCATATTGTTTCGACAAAAATTATACTAGTATAATAGGTTTTTTTTCTTTTTTGCTTGATTCTTGTCTCTTGGCCGAAATAAATCTTTTACTAAAAGTGATATGCAGAGGTTGCTAATTCGAATTTCCATCCTCAAATTATTCTCTGGCGAAATAATTTTGTTCTAGCAATTGAATGAATCAAGTTTTTTTATAAGCTTTTATAAACAGCGATTAAATTAGCATTTTAAATGAAAATCACCAATTTCACGGCAAAAGCGTTGTTCATAAAATGCTAAACCAATTTAGCAATTGATATATTATGCGAAAATTCGGATTGTCATAATAATGGCCTATGCTTGGGCACTAAACAGCATAAAATTTGTGCATGTCATATTGGATATTCGGGTAATTCATGTGAAAATAGTACGTCTTATATTATTTGTTCTATATTCATAAATTTTTTTATTTAAGGTATTTTTAGATATTTTTAAGGTAATTTTAGGTTTTAAAATATATCCCTATTTGATATACCTCCTTGATAATTTTTTCTTCATTTTTTAAATTATAGTAAATTTTTCATGGAAATAATTTAATAATTTAGAATTCGATATGTTTTGTGATGCAAGCGATTGTAACAACCAAGGTATATGTATCGGTGAGAAAGGGAAATTCTTATGTTTATGTAATTTTGGATCATTCGGTGAGCGTTGTGAATCGTATCTCGATGCGAATTTACAGCCAATCTTGGCTAATGCTCCATGCGAATTGAAAGATTGCAGTAATAATGGCATTTGTATTGGAACAAAAAAGTCCCCCACTTGTTTATGCAATTTAGGACATAGTGGTGACCGATGCCAATATAGTTCTTTTTCTTTTAACTTCTAAATTGTTGATTTTATTGAGAAAGATTTTACTAAGCATATTTTGATATTATCATTAAATCATTAAATCATACAATATATTCGTCCAGTTCTTCGCATTTTCCTTTAGTGGTCCTTTCATCATAAAATCGCTTCAAAATAATTGGATTTCTATCAGCTTGGCCTTTCTCCTTACAACAATATTAGGGTGAATTATATACGCTATCTTCAATAAATTGAAATTAAATTCGTGGTTCTTTGGTTCAAATCAAAACCGCTATTCGAAAAGTCACCATTCTTGGAAAAAATAAGTGTTTATGGCTAAAAAATTCTCTAAAAAATATGATGAAATGACAATATATGACTATGGTTTTCGTTTTGATCTGTGCTACTTACTGTAAGAAAATCGCAAAAAAACAGTGTCAACAGTGTCAACGCCGATTATAAAAGAGTATTTGCCGTAAGGCTCATAAAATTCATAAGGCAAGGTTTATTTTAATATATATATAGATTTCTTCATGAGATTCTCGATTTTTTTTAGATTTTTACTCTTTTATTCGATGGTATAATAAATTTTATGATAAATTCAATAAATTATATGAATAATTAAATGAATATTTTACATTTTTTAGTTATTTTATATATTTATATTAATCAAAAATCATATCGCTATATACTTATTATTAGTTCTCCGTTCAAGCTGATCATTCTATTCATTACTTTTATACAATTGTAAAAAAAAAAAACTAGAAAAATATAAGAAGCGTTATAAGAAACGTTAAATGTAAGAAACATTTAACAATGATATTGTTTCGCTCTTAATTAAAAATATTGATAATTAATGATAATTTGATAAAAGGGTAATAATATAGATGGTTGATGGAAAAATGAATTTTGCTTTTTATATGATATAAAATGGCGAAAAAAAAGCAAGTTTTATGGTTGAAATTGGATTATTTCTTGATAAACTTAGAATAGAAACGATGAATTTTTGATATTCACGAGTTGATTGGTCTGATTGCAAAAAAGGATTTGAACAAACTGGGATCCATATCGACAATTTATATGAAATTTTATAAACATAAATGTAAAAAAAAACTATTAAATAGAAATTTTCAACTGTTTTAACTGAAATATTTTTAAATGATGAAGAATAAACTAGTAAATTCTATTTTTTAACGATTTGAATAAATTTAAATGATTTTTTCTTCTCCGAAGCCACTCACGAATTTTAGCTGAGTTTCAATCATTGGCTTATCAGATAAATTTTATCAGTGAATTACTTGGTAGAGCATTCGAGGTGAATTTCCAATATTCGCGCGATTTAAACTATCAGCAATATTTACATTTATAGGAACTTTTATACAGAAGGATGTGAAGTAAACTTAATTAAACATGGATACATCAAAATAGAAAAAATCGGAAATCCATTTCCAATTGATATCGGTTAAAATGTGGGACACTTTAAACGGAAATTTTTTCGAAATTTTTCATATTACTATTATCCTTTCTCTAATTTAATTATTTAATTGAATGAATTTAGTTGTATTCACATAAAATTCAAATTCTTTTTTTTCGCTCAATTTTCTTTTGACAATCGTAATAAATTTATATATTTAATATATATTTCAAATATATTTAAATATATTTAATATATTTTCATTATTTTCAGTTTGAATATTTTAATTATTTTTCACTTCATAATTCTTCAATAATTTACCAATTCTGTGAAATTTATTATTTATTTTTTCTAGAATTTCAAATTTTATGAAAGAATTAATATAAAAATCATAAAAATATAAATATAAATAAAAAAGTATTAAAGATTTCACAATAATATTACGATTATTTCTGCAATTAATCCATAAAAAAATTGATAATTGGTGATATGATAATATGATGATGATATATCGGTTGATTGAAATTTTTCAAAAAATAAGATGGTGTATATAATATAATATAATGTTAGACCACTGGTGCCTTAGCCTATTTTGTTTCAAGTTGGGAGCAAATCGAATGTGTTTAATTCTCGATAGCAAAAAATTCTTATGAAAAGCCTTCACCAAATCTTTGCATTTCTTCTCAAGTAACTCTAAGGCAAGGATGAAAAAGCCTTGGCCTTATTATATCAGCCAGTGAAGGAAGCGAAACCAATGGTGAAGGTGATACTAATGGATGAAAAAAAAATGATCAATCATGATCATGAGAAACAATCATGATCTGTATTAATGCGACTATAACCGACTTTTTTGTTTGATATTGTATTACTGCTGGTTTTCTTCGATAATTCATGCTTATTAATTTTTATACCATTCGCGAATTTATAGAATAAAAGTGACAACTAAAAATTTTACTATTTTGATGAATACAATCAAATGGTCCGAATTTCCCTACAATCTTAGGGTGACATTTATTTGTTCGCTTTTATTCTCGATTACTTTCATTATTTTGGGTATTTTCTTCGGAAACTTTCAACCAAAAGCTAAAGTTATTGAAATTTATGCAAAAAATTCAAATCTTTCTGGTTGCGAATACGGTGGAAGATCAATATATACGTGTTTTGTAAGTTTTATTCGTTGATTACTAACTGATAAGAAATATTGTTCAATTGCGAACGCCGATGTTGAGGTTCGATTCCCCGCAAAAGTAAACCTGTACAAAAATGGTAGCGACTCATCTATCGCCACCATTTTCTATCGCCAAAGGATTGATTCCCTGGCATATTGCTCAATGCGACAAGCCAGTGGAACGAGTTTAACCAATAATGGTGAGGACTCTTTAAAAAAAAATATCTTCATGAAATGATGGCATCTTATCAGTTCTACGCTTTCATGATAAAAAAAAGAGGAAACCGTTTAGATTTTCATTTTTTTTCTATTTTCATCAAGCAACTTTTTAATGAAAATTATGAGCATTAGTTTTATTGTCAAAGAACCTAAAGAAAACTGGAAAAACAAGGAAAATTTAAAATCAAATTTCTTCTTTTTTTCTTTTAATTGCAGGCAAATTTGGGTGAAAATGAATGGATACCGTCACCTTTAAGATTTATGCAAATAAATGCTAAAACATCGGTTTGTTTTCGTATTGCAATTTTAGTTCCATTAACGGTACGAATTTTTGCCACTTATGTTTGGATAAAATTATGCGCATTTTATGAAAATAATGATGGTGAAAGTTATAAAAATTTTATAAAACAAATATTATATGGCCTTTTACTATTGGCAACAATCGTCGAGGCAATATCGCTTGCAGTCTTTGCCATAATTAATCCGAATTTCGAAAGACAATGTAAATTTTTTTTTACCAAAAAAAAATTATATTTTATAAATTTTATATATTTATAAGTTGAAATTCTTCGTCAACTTTATCTATAACTAAACAACTAATTAAGCGGTCAAAAACGGATTGAATCGAATAAGCAATTTCAAATGAAATAAGTAATTTTAGAATTTTTTTTTTATAATTTTTATTCTATTTTCGAGTAATTTGTTTAGAATGGAAGTAGAATGGCTAAAGCTAAATGAGTTATTACTCACATTTCGTAGCGTCAGCGTGTGAGCTTTTAATCCTGGCAAGAGACCTATTTAAACCTGTTTTTCAAGAAATTCAATCTCCATTTGCTAACTCCAAATAATACCCACGGTTTGTCTGGTCCAACGAACCAGTGGAACGAGCTTAACCGAAAATGATGAGTTAAGAGGGTCTCAAAGGATGCGCTATTTTCATTGGAATAATTTCAGCTCTTTTGCTACATGATTATCTATTCTATATTTTCGGCGCTTCCCTTGCATTAAATATTATTTTGCATTCAATATTGGATATTGCAAATTACAATATATTACAAATTAATGTAAGTTAATATATATTGTATTATAGCTTATAGAACGAAGTATTTATCGTTTGGTCCCTGTCCACTGGATCCTTATCGCACCAAGCTAATATCGAGGGAAAACTTGGTGATATAAACATAAATATTTGCCAATATCACTTGGGCTTTACTAGTATTCAAATGCAAATAAAACCTTGTTTTTAATTATATAAATTCTTTTCATTGCAGGGTTGGTACTTTCTTGCCATTCGTTTGTTTGTATTGATCATATTAGTAGTAAATATATCGCCTGTATCAAAAAATTTTTCTAGTTATTATGATATGACCGGAAATATCCCTTTATACCATTCATATGGTATGATTAAGATATAAATTTTTTTTCTATTCTTGATTATTTTAAAAATATCAAAAAATTTTTATTCTTTGTGCATGAATCGAATTTTTGGTTCATATTTTGGTGCAAAAAGCTTTAGTATTTCTCCTGAATAGTTACTTTCTATTAATTTAAATTTCGTCTGCAAATTTAATTAATGCATAAAATTGATAGTACTTGTGGTACTTTCATTTAAGTATTTATCTAATATTCAGTTTATTTCAGTAAATATATCAAATGCATTTCGTGAATATTTTCTTCTAGTAATCCTAATAATATTTTACGCTTCAATTGTTTTCCAATTCAACAACGATATTACAATTCATGTTGCCTATATAACTGACGACGACATCGATCATAATTTTATTGATATTTATAAACCATCAAATTTGGTGATAAAAAAGGAAATGATGATTTAATCAACAAATTGTATTATTTAATAAATTTTAATAATAATAATTATATTAATTAAATTAAAATATCATAAAAAATTGCTCATTTTTATTAAATATATTTTAAAATTTGACTAGTTGAATTTATTTTATTGTTTTATTTATTTAATACCTTATCTAATATCTGGTAAATGTAAAAAAAGCAGCAATGTCTAAGTAATTCGCAATTGGTACTTTCCTGCTATTCGTTTTCTTCATTATTGATCATATTACTGGTAAATATATCGCATGTATCAAAAAATTTTTCTAGCTATTATGACCGCAAATAAATAATTTGGCTAAATGGCAATTTTTTCTTGGATTATTTTGAATATGAATTTTTACTCAAATCTATTAATTTAACCACTTTATTCAAAATTTTACAATGTGAA